TTCTCTGGTGTCATACCTGATGAGTTAACTATAACTCATTTCCTCTGTCAATGAGACCAACTGGCTGTGTTGGTAATCCGCCACATGTCTAGCGCTGGTGCTCCCAGATCCTCCCTCCTCCACTGACTCCGTGTATTAGCTCTGATTGGAAAGTCTCATTGGAAATTAATTGTGTAAGACAGAGACCCAGTTCTGGCATCCCTGTCAAAGGAACATTGGTATTATGGGGTGTGCAAGGACCTCAGCATTGCTGCCCTTTCTTTTGGGTAGCCTGCAATGCTGCTAATCTGAATTGTCTCAAAAATACTGGAGTTGTTCAGGGAGTCGTTGGATGACTACATGTATGTTGATCAACATAACCCTGAGACTGTCAGGGTGCAGCTTATGCCTACGGCAGTGTAATAGATGTCAGCAAATAAAATTACTGGACTACTGCTGCACAGGTCAGCTTACCTCCTTACAGTGCTTATGTGTCTCCTGCACGTGCCCTTTGGTTTCCTGTATCAGACAAGCTGAGGACTGGACACGTTGTCCATCCCATCTCCAGTTCTCCCCTGCCTTAGGCAAGGTCAGCAAAGACTAGAAGGAACCAGCTAAGAAGGCACTGAAGAGGTAGCAAAGGCAGCGTGGTGTGTTGTGAGCAGGATGCTAGGCTGAGGAGGAACCAGGGGGCGAGGAGGTGGGCTGGGAACGAGCAGACAGGCCCCTGTTCCTTTGGCTGATAGACGTGGATGATGCAAAGGGAATTTTACTCCTGTGTGCTTTCCCTTGAATCCCAGGGAACTGAAGAATAGGAGATGGGCTCTGGGAAAATACTGTAATTATGGGTAATCTTGTTTGTCTCAATTCTTTAGAAGTCAAATAATTCAGTGTATGAATTGACCACATCTTGCAACTCGGACATCCTTTCTTGAAGGTTTTCTCTGCTGTTTCCTGGTCTTGTTACTATCTCTTCAGGGATTCCCCTTTGTATTTTACTTCCTGTTCCATAAGCGTGGAATTTGGAGAATAACCTCCCTATTGGCCAGCTGGTGCTAGGCCAGCCATCATTCTTCATAGTCCTCTGGAGCCTACGTTGGATCTTATTTGCTTGGAAGGGGTCCCATTGATTGTAAATCTGTTATATGACAGTGCCTCTGGAGTAGGGAGCATCTTTCTGGTGGTAGTAAGCTTGCAAAGCAGAGCAAGATGAAGAAACCTATCTAATATATTGACATGTGACTTCTGATACGTTCTCTGTACAAGAGACAAAGATATGTACAAGCCAACTGAGAAAATAACAGCTGTGATGTTGGAGAGTAAGCAACAGAGGCTTGTTCTTTTGCTTTCTCAGCCAGGAGTAGCTGCAATGATATGTTTGCAGTTTATAATACATTAGTTTCCATTACATGTAAGAAAGAGTTGAACAAGTCAAGTATTTGAGTGATGATACCTGTGCAGTTAGTGTCAGCCCTTCATGCTGCTCACATTAAATTTTCAATTTTCTTTCAGCAGTACACATATGTACATTGACAGTCGTCTAAATGTAGACAGGAAGGGGTTGCTGAGAGTTGTAGAAGAGTGAGTCGAGCATATCCAGCAAGTTAGCTACTTGGGTAAGAGATGTTTCATTGACTCTTTTTGCCTTGCAGGAAGAATGCAAACAAATACTGGCTCGGCAGAAATCCAGTTCCCAGTCTGATTCTCATGACGATGAGATTTCCCCTCCTCCTCCCAACCCAGTGGTAAAAGCCCGACGCAGGAGAGGGGGGGTCAGTGCAGAAGTGTACACGGAGGAGGATGCTGTTTCTTACGTCAGAAAGGTAATGTGTTGCCGTCTATCTGATTCTGAGATGTACAGGACAATCAAGTAACTCATATTTTGCTCATAATTTGGAACCATGGGTCAGCCTGTAGGATGGTGTCCTCATGCTGGCATATGCATGGCTTGACCATCTTCTTCACACTCAAGTTCTTTTCCTGCCTCCTTGACTAAGTACTTTCCCCATAAGTGTTGCTTCAGCATTCTCTATTCTTCCCCTTTTAGAGATGTGCTGCTAATCTGTTTCACTTTTTAACAGGGTGGGTAATTCTCAGCCATTTTCTTGGTAATCACAGCCTCCGACAGCTTCTGAGTTTTGTCAGAACCTCACAGTTTTGGAAAGCAGCCTTTTCTATTGCTGCATTTCCTGCTTTTTTTTTTTTCTAAAAAGTCACTTCTAGCTCACGTTTTCTAAGCTAGCTCATTTAGGTTCCCTAGACCATTCAGGCACATGGTTCCTGTGTTGATTGAGTACCACCTAACCCATGGGTTTTCGGAAGTCTGTTGACCATACTTGGGCAATTTTATGTGACCATTGTCTTTGAAGAAATGCCGATCCCAAGTTAGGTAATTTCTTCAGCAGGAGCACTAATTTGGGCTTCTCTTTTTTTAACTGCCTTTTTCACAAAAAATTCTAGTTATGTTATATCCTTGATATCTCTTAATAACTCTTCAAATTTTTTTTGAAACTGGCCAAAGCTCTCCAAGGGTATTAAAAGACAGACATTACAATAGCGCGTGTCACGTTTGTTTAGGGAGCTAGGCTAAAAATGCACTTCATAAGGTTGACAGATGCTACTAATGTGCTTTTGTGCATGCCTGGAGTAGTTTTAACCTGAAGAGCTTTTTCTTTATGGGAATATGTTTTGTCAGTCACTGTTTTTTGGCAGAATACTTTTTGCCTTTGCAGTCAGATGTGCTTTTGTCATCCACTTATGATACAAGTTCACTGACTGCTCTGGGGATTTCTGTCCCAAGAAACAAAGAATTAGGATAGCTTTTCATCCTAAAAGCAAGTATGGAGGAGTATTCTTGTGGCAGTTAAATAATGCTTGCAAGTATACAGTAAATTTTAACAGTACTGTGGTCAAGCTATTAATGCACTGCACTGTTAAAAAACTTGCATGATATTTTAAACTTTCAAACCACTTTCAAACACTTTTCTTTCTGGGCAGTTTGCAACATCCCCCTTAAAAACTTCCATGAAGAGATCACATTTCTCTCTGCTTAATATGGGCTCCATCTGACTCTTCTGAAAATCAAAGGAAATATTCCTTCCCACACCTCTGAGTAATTCTTTTATGTTTATAATGGAACTGAAGTTAACTTTGTTTTCTTCCTTTTTCAACAGTGATGCCAATAAGCCCTGACAGTAGCATGGGTAGGCAAGAGCCAGAAGAAGCAATACAGATTGTATTCTGTGCGTTCTGTGACTAGGGCTGTTAGGATTTTAATTTCCTAGGAACTGACTGAACCTAAATAATAGTAATTTAGGGGATGGTTTCTTGTCAGGCTACAGATACTGCAAGGAATAAAGAACTAGCACTGGGAGGGTTTATGTCAGTGCTTTGTCTTCTGCCGTCAGCAAATGAATCCCATGGTGAATCCCATGGATGTGTGTTTGTGACAGAGATTTCTAGAATACAGAAATAAAGGGAGAGACTGAAAGGACGAATTATGAAACTAATTTAAAAGTGTAAAAATCAAGGCAAGGGTTGTGTTAGACTATTGCAAACAGATGGATTTTTAGATAGTAGCCAGGAAGAACCACTGGCTTGAATTCAGGTGCTGGATAGAAACACATCTGGATCATAAGCCAATTTAAAAGATCCCTTGAAGGGATGAGCTATAGGATGAGTAGTGCTAAAGGCAGTGCAATGAGTTATGTCACTGGATAGAAAATCAAAGGAGATTTAGCTTTGTGGTTTGAGCAAGCACTTGGCATGGCTCCATTCTGAGGAGCACAAAGGAAGATCTTGCTTCATTCCTGAAACTAGAGAAAGCAATATTTGTCAACACATCTGACATAATATATAGTTAACAACTAACAGAATAGGAATCTTGCTGTAAAGAGGGTTATCAGCTTGAAGAGAACATTCAATGATTACTTGGAAGAGCGATGTAAGGAATGGTCAAATGATTCTTCCTGACATTTGATTTTGGTGAGATGCCTGGTTACTGTGACACCTAAAGAATCTGTCCTGTGTTTTCTGTGTCCCTGCCCCAACAGACCCACTTTGGTCTCTGCCTTGTGGCTTTCATTTCTGCAGATTTAGACTGAGAAAGGCTAGTCTACGCTATTCCATGATCAGCCAGAAAGGTTGGAGTTTAATGTCTTAGGGATTTAATTATCTACCCTTTTGGCTCATCAGCAGTAAGCTGAACAGCTAGGGTATTCTTAATAGAGCAAGAGTTCAGGACTGCAATTCAATACAGGGTTTGTTTGATAGGGTAAAAAACAAGAATAAACTGGCCAAATGCTCATTTTATTTAACATCAAGGAATTTAAACTTTTAGTTAAATTAGATCGAGTTTCACTCTGACACAAATATCCAGTTTATACATACATGCTTCTCTAGACTTAATTTGAGTAGTCTAATGACTACAGCAGTCAATATAAGTGATGTCTGAAGCCAGAGTTTAACTTCAGAACTTCACAGTGCAGTATTTTCCCTTGAAATAAATCTACAGCAATTCTTTGTGAGACCTGGTTCTACATCAGTGTTCCCATTTGAGACATCCTTCTTCTGGTTGGATGGGTAGTATTCTTGCCTTTCCAGGATGAGGAAAGGAAACTACCTACACATCAGCATACTTAGTAACTTAAATAAGACAGAAGTACTATTTCTATCATAAAAAAATGTGAAAGATAAATGTCCGTTATCAGACCTTTTTTGTACAGTAATTAAAACGAGCAAACTGATGTTGATCTTCAGATTGGAGCAAGGTTTATTTAACACTTAAAACTTTGGCTAGGCTTGATTCTGTCGCATTATAATGAAACTATTAAGGAAAATCACATTACTGAAGTCAAAGAACATCTGTTACAAGTCATAACCTTGTTACAAATTTCTTGTGTCTCTCATAATCACAAAGTCTGACTGGCAGAAGTAGATGCTTGGCAAATACAGACATACAGTGTCTTTACTAATATCTTACCAAAATGCTTACCAAAGTGGAAAGCTTAACTTGCAAAAGTCTTATAAAAAAAGTTCACCCCATATGAAAACATACTCCTGAATTTCAACATATATTTTGAGCAAATTTTTTTTTTGCCTTCTCCCCAATTAACAAAAATAAAAATGCCTCTTCATTCTCAAATGCAAGTCCTTCTCGTTTGCCATGAAGCAAATGCACAGGATCTTGACCCAGGTGGGCCTCTCAAGAGCTCCATTCCTTATACCACAACCAGTACTGAAAAGTATGGTGTAATCAACACATTTTTACCTTTTACCTAAAGAAATGTTGCTCATTCCCTAGTTTTAAAACTAGATTGCTTCTGATATTGTTTGTGGGGGAAGAAGAATATGAAATACGTTTTCCTCAGTCCAAGAGATTTGAAAGGAGACTACACAGCTGCCAGTACCTGCTAATTATAGTAATTCATGGATATCCTTCTCCCCAGTCATCCCAGATCTTATGTTTCTTTTCTGGTTGTCATATCGAGAACATAAATTCTTATCCTCACGTTATCAAAACTGTAATTTATTACTTTCTTAGTGGCTTTATGTTATAGCCTAAACCTGCCTCAGTGTTTGAAATCAAACTGCATCCATTGTCTTGAATAGTGGCATTTTCTATAGATTTCAAGATCTATGAAGAAATACAACCAGGCATGTAATTATCTTTCCTTCTTTTCTCTACAGGTTATTCCAAAGGACTATAAAACTATGACTGCTCTGGCAAAGGCCATCTCCAAGAACGTGCTCTTTGCTCATCTTGATGACAATGAACGAAGGTATGAGGTGCTTTATGATTTAAAGGAATCTATAGCTTGACCTGAGGACAAGAAATTATATTAAATTTAACTCAGGGATCAGAACTACTCTCACTGATGCATTTGAGTCATACTAGATGCACCCTCACACACACTTATGGTATTATGACAGAGGGTAAAATCACAAGCTAAAAAAGGGATAGGATGTATTCAGACATATTTAATGTCTTCAAATCAGCTGTGCCTGATGAACTTTATTCTAGGGTACTTAAGGAATTGGCTAAAGCAATCTCAGAAGCATTTATAGTTACTTCTGAGAACTCAGGGAAGACAGGTCAAGTGATGGAAGAGTGGGAAAGAAAAAGCATAACATCTATAAAGAGGAAAAAGAGAATTACAGGTAAATTATTTTGTTCTTTGAATATCTGGAACAAACAAATTATGTGTAAGCACCTGAAGGAGACCAAGGAGTTCAGTAACAGCCAACGTGACTTTTGAAAACTTGAAAATGTCTTTTTACAACTGAATAGCAAGTCTTGTAGCTAGGGAAGGCACAACAGAGGCCAAACAGCTTGACTTCTAGTAACGTTTTCAATGTTAATGTGTATGATGGTTTCATAAACAATCAAGGGAAACATGTCTTCAGTGAAACCACTATGGAGTCTATGCAAAACTGATTGGATAGCCATACCAAATAGCAGTTATCAACGGTGAAATGTGGGAAGGGTTGGTCTGGTTTTCATCATTATTGTCATTAATGACCTCAGAGGTGGAACAGAGTATGAGTGTTGAATTTTTAGATGACGTGAAGATGGGAAGGGCTGCTAAAACATTGGGAGTCAAGGCTAGAATTCAGAATTATGCTGACAGATTGAAGAAATGTTCTAGTAAAAGCAGGATGGATTGTCGCTGAGCCAAGTGCAGAGAAGTATACTTAGGCAGGAAGAACACCTATAACCATAAGACGGTTTTGCAGTTTCGGTAGTTCCTTGAAAAACCATGTGGAGCTTATTGTGATCGTGGTCTGAACATTAGTCACTAATGTCAAGCCATTTTGAAAATACACATTTTACTGGGGTAGCTAAACAGGAGAACATGCAAGACGTCCCAGTGTTGGAAAGATTTCAGATGGAACACAGTGTCCAGTTTTGGGCACTGCACTTCAAGAATAAACAGTTGGGGGAAGTTCAGGGAAGAGCAGTGGGAACAACCACAGATCTAGATAACATCAATTCTGAAGAAAGAATGGGATTGTTTGGCCTGCACAAGAAAAGTCGGGGCAGAGGGACGCGATTATAGCTTATAATTGTGTATGAATAATGGTATATGAGGAATAAACTGCTGTGTGTGCCAAAGGGTAAAGAATAACAGATTTAAAGTGCAGTAAGAAAGAGTCAAGTCAGATACTAGGAAGAGGTCTCTGACTGCTTGGGTAGGTTGTGGAGTCTCCACCACTTGAAGCCATTAAGAACAGACTGCAGTCTGCCAGGAATGACGTAAGTAGCGTCAGTCCTGCCTTGCAGCAGATAGGCTAAGTGATGTCATGAGGTCCTTGCCAACCCTACTTTTCTGTGCTTCTGTGGTTAGAAAGGACAAAGATTTTGTCTACACTGACGTTTTTAGTACTGGCGGAACATAAGCAGTGCAGTCCTTTGGTGGGGCTACTCACGTTTTCAGTCAAAGCACGTTTCAAGTGTGCAAATTTTGCTCCCTCTTGCAGGCATTTACACAGTTTAATTACTTTGCAATCCTAATTAAATCGCATTAGCATGCAGATTTCTGGAGTAATTAGAAGAGGATTAACTTTGAACATTTCTTCTAGCTTTTTCACCCACAGCAGAGAATTCTTGTACAGAACTGCTGTAAATCCTAATTATACCTTCAGCATGCTAACGTGACAGGCACTGGAAGGGTAGGTTTTAAGGCTGGAAAAGGGACATTTTGGTAATATGTTATCAAAGTAGGGTGAGAGAGAAAACGTGAAGGAAAAGTGCTTTTTCTTGCACTGTGCTGATTGTACATCATGGTCATGGTTTCTCCCATCTGTTCCCCATGTCACATTTACCTCTGCCAGCCAGACTGTCCTGCTATGGATATGTGTTAGGAGTGAAGAGATTTGTACAGATTCCCATGTGTGTGCTGTAGATGGGTTGTAGACTGTCTGCTCTTGGCAGTCCTCAAACTATGGCTTGACCAGGTGTATACTGCATTTTCTGGCAAAGGATTTAGAAGCTTCTTGGTTTCTGGGTTGTGCACTGGGGCATATTCAGCTATACACCATCTCCCTTGCTCAAAGGATGTGTCTAGGTGCCTCGCTCAAGCCTCATGACGAGCACAACAAGCTATTGCTGACATTGGGGAAAAAAAAGGAACTCACAGAAGGATGCATGCATTCTGCTTTTGTAGACAGGATTGTAATGAACGAATAAATTGTTCTCTCTCTGCGTTTAACTGAGCTTACTCTTGACATCATACTATTGCCCTTGTCTGGTTTCGTTTGTCAAGTGTGGAGAAGTCAGCAAGTTGGAGCATACCACTGCCATCACTTCCAGTTTGCATCTTGTTGATGCAGATACATAATTCAGTAAAGTAAGTGGTGTATGACTTCATTTGGGTTCTGTCCTCTTAGAATGGTGGAAAGCTAGGTGTGGATATTTCATTTTCTGTGCTGCAGTGGTGGTGTTGGTGTTTATTTTCCTCAGTGCTTTCTACACAGAAGACAGTATCATTGTTTCATTTAATTTCGTGGTTGACCATTCACCAAGATGTGGGAGGTGTTCAGGTCGGGGAAGGATGAACTAGCAGGGCTTAATTCCTCATTTACAGTGGATAATTCTTACATTTTTCCTTCTCCTCTGAAAAGATACTTATGTTAATCTGCTTTGTGGCTGTGCAGTCCACGACTTGTGTTGCACTTGCTGCTTGGCAGCTGTGAAGGTCCTTATGTCTGACATAAGCCCTTATTTATAAAGGCAGTGTGTAGCATATTATCTGTTTGTCAAATATTCCATATGAATGATTAATTGCATTAGAAGTCATACTGAAGTTAAGGTAAACAAGTATCTTTTTGCACTGGTGTCTGAAATAGTTTTGTTCAAGTCTTATTTTAGATAGCATCTTTTCATGTGCCATGCTTAAAAAAGGCTTGCCATCTATCATCTCATGCATGCACACACATGCATACACACAGTCTGTGGTGTAAAATTAAACTGAAAAGTGCAATAAAAGGGAAACTGTAACTGCATCAGTACTAAAAGCAGCAGAACTAGTTATCAACAACTTTTGCCAAAATGTTCATTTGAAGAGTTGCTGATATTATAAAGAACAGTGCAGCTCTGCAAAGTGATGTGGCAGTCCGCTGTTTTCTCGTGAGACTTTTCCACTGACTTCAATAAGATCTTGATTAAACTCTGGAGCAGGGTCCTGGTTCTCTCAAAGCCAGTGGCAAAATGCCCATTATCTGAAGTGGAAATGTGCTTTTAACTGTAAGGGAGCTGTTCTCATCTGCAAAACGAGGGATGCGTGTCTTTTTAATTGTGTTTCTGCACATGTGCACCTGATGTATATTTTATGTGTGTCCCCCTTTGCCTAGAGCTGGTCTGTTACACGCTCACTGACAACAAAACCTCAGATTTACATGGATGTATCACATACTCATTATCCAAATTTTTTTTGAATCAATGAGAAACTAGCTGTAAAAAGTTAAAGCAACATCAGGGCTTCACAAAATTAATTTCTTATTGTGTTTTAATAGGTATAGTTTGATTTTGATTGTTTATTAAAATATTGCACATCTAAAAATTACTGAACTGTATTAAAATTTCTGTGAAATACTCACAGGCAGTGTAAATATTTATGAGCTGTGGGGAAAAAAGGGATGTTAAAGGGGTGATGGGCTTAATTATGAACTAAACAGCTTAGTGAGTTGCAGCGAGTACATGGATGTGTATCAGTGTGCCTACTTTGGGCTCATCCTTGTTTCCTGTCTTCTTATCAGCCCAAACTCAGTTGCAGTCTTCTCAGAGTAGCCTTATGTCATAGGTGCTTTGATGGGGTTTGCTTCCCTGGTTGGGATGTGTGGCAAAGCCGTTTCACTTTGTCTCAGGCATTCTTGTATTTACTCTGCAGTCAGGATGCATTTAATGCCTGGGTAGTTAAGCTTGGATTTTGATAGTGCTGTTATATCATCCTGCAGGTCCCTAGGCACGTGTGCTCTAACTTCTCTCTCCTCCTTTCCCCCACCCCATACTATGCATATGGGCTGGCTTATGTTCACATGGGGGTTTTGCCCTTCGTTTTGTGTTTCTTCTGTACTCCACTTCCTTCCTGACTCCACTCAAAAACTCTTGGAAGAGACTGCTCAAAGAGTTTTATTAGGTGGGCAGTGGAGCCTGTTAGTTAAGCTCAGATGTGACCGCAGCAAGATTTTCTGGAAAAGCATAGTTCATACTGGTGTGCAAACATCATGCAGAAGCTGTGGAGATGGCCACCAAGAGGACAGTTTTCCCAGGCAGAGAGCACTCTAAAGACCTGCTAGTTACGATCACTGCAAGATCAGCAACTCTGGTCCTAGCTTGGTGCTCGCCAAAGCCTTACATATATATGCACAGTCCTGCAAAACAGCTTCTTGTGTGACAGCTCTGAAGGAGCTTCTTGCAGCATAGAACAACTTCTGATACAGAAGACAGCGCTGTGTAGGCTGTGCACCCGAAAGATCTAGGAATTGCTCTGCAGTCTGTTCAAGGACGAACAGCCTTGAGACGAAACATCGGTGGAGCTAGACCAACAGCCAGGTAAGAAGCATTTACCCTCTCTTTCATTATACTGGGGAAAAGTGAAATGGCAATATTAACTGTGAGGGATTTTTGCATTAGAAACATAAATTTATTTTTTATAGATGATGTTCTTTGCAACAGTTTGTCTTTAACGTCAGTTGAGGGCAGAAGCCGTCTTGTTTCTTTTCTCTTCATTGCACCTGTGATCCAAGAGGAAGTCCCAGCAAAAAAAGAAGTTAAATAAAA